CCAATTTTTGCACGGGTCTCTTTAGCTATGTGGGGCCTGGCGTCATCGTGGAGTAGGTGGACAGAAGTTCGTCTCGGTCGTTTTTCTTGAACAGCGTCCGCTAGTTTCTGGAGCTGACTGGCGTAAATGCTGCCGGTAGCGGTATGTCTTGCGGGAGCAGCTCATAATACAACATTCCTCACGAATCCCAGAGGCAGCAAAGAAGACAGCTTTTGGGGTGAAGGTCCGATTTTGCTTGTGTCGAAGTCTGTGCTCCTTAGAATCGTAGAGGACCCAACTCTCATCTCCGTAATCATGCCTTCCAAAAACTCCTTTCGGTGCGGGCAAAGAAGGAGAAACTGACAAATGGGTACCCGCCTGAACCGCGTGCTATCGGTCAAGACATGAGGGATCCATCGAGTCGGCACTTTCCTGTGGCGAGGGCGTGGAGGGGACCGAGGACTGTGGGATGGGTGCACCCGAGTCTTATCACAAGGCTGCTAACCTCCGGATCCTCTTCGACAGCGCCGAGAACGGTGGAGTCTTCCACTGTTTGGGGGCTTCCCAACCTTGACTTGTTTTCGGAAGCCGTGTCTCCTCCTTCGAAGCCTGCGAACCAGAGCTTGGCACTGATGATGGAAGTGGTGTCCCTTCCCAATGCGATGCTGATAATGTTGACGGTTTCCACTGCTCCTGTGCCGCAGCGCCATTCATTGAAGATGATCGCTCGAAAGTGCTCTTGTGGAATCGACATCATGATTAAAGTTAAAGAAGGCAACCCGGCTAATATATACCTACTGCGGAGAAGTATGATCGACAGCGATAATCTATCACGTAGCAGATTCTAGGTATCGATCAATAAGCGAAAGTTCTGGAGCTTTCGAAAAATCGGCTCAGGACTTTCTTACCATCCAAGTAAATGTACCAATCCCATTTGTTGTGAGACATATAAGTAAACGTTTTTTGTAAGATGAACACTGGAACCACCTAAAATATTCAAAGCCATTTTCCAACTGAATTATGAAGGTTTGTAAACATGAGAGAAAAGTTTTCCTCTCATGTTCACAAACCTTCATAATTCAATCTCTCAAAATAACACGCTAGAGATCAAAGAATTCGTAATAGGGTTAAAGGGGTAGTGGTTGAGAACATCTGATGACCCAAACCCTGTTTCCCATGGCAAGGTCTGTCATAATTGCAGCTTTCTCGATATTATTCCACCATCACTGCCCCTGACCTCAAAATTTTATTTCTCGACAAAACTTTGCCTATAGAAGTTATTCGACGTCATGGTTACGAATATGATATTCATTTTCCGGCGTTGATCTATGGCGCCACTTTTTCACGACGTCCGTTTTCAGCAAATTCAGTGTAAACTTGCATATAGGAGTAATCCGGTGCCCTTATTACCAATATGACATTTAATTTCGGCGATGGTGCCATTTGGTCCCAATTTTCTGCTCGTCTGCGCCCTCTCACTGATTTGATCGCGACCACGACTAAGCCTTTGGGGGAAAATGAGGGCTTAGAAATTAGTAAGCCACTCACCCTGTGATCTCGTAGACTTTGTATTTTGCCATACGATGCGTGATTCACCCACACCGAAGCCGCCCTTCACCTATAAGGTTATGCTTAGCCTTAGGAGCTATAAAGAAAGAGTTCAGGAGAACAGAAAATATGCGTTAAACAGCTGTAATCCCAAAACAATTGTGAGGACACCAAATAAGCCCTACACACAAGTTTACATCGAATTTTGTGAAAACAGCCATCGTGACAAAGTGGCGTCAACCGATGGCAAATGGTGCCATCGTCTAAGATCAACACCCTCTAGTTGTAATCAGGGCATCGAATAAAAAGTTGACGAAAAATAAAATTTCGAGATTTATGGAATTTGCCGAAATTTTGTCAGGTGACGTGGCATAAGAAGTGGTAGAAGCTCAAAAAATCTCTAATATCGATTTTTTGAGATCGCTGTCAAATGTATTAGTGATTGTGCAATTACGACATGCCCATCTACAAGAAACAAGGTGTACATTTACTGATAAGACTAGAATACGAGAGAATACTGAACAAATCATTATACCAATTACTCTCCAGGTTGCCAAATGCTGCAAATATAATTGTCATATGTCATTTTGTTACCGTATCCCAAGCATTCATTGAAGATTGGCTCTGTATGTGCCCTGTTCCTGATCGCTAGTGTTGGATCCCATTTTTCACCCACGTACGCCGCTCTTGCTACATCGACCATGGCCGCCATTATTGGAACAACGCTACTCCTCGTTTTTGCCTTTAATTTGAACACAGTTACATCGAGTGTCGACTGGATCTTCTGGGTAAGTCAAGTCTGTCTGAGATTTTCTCAGGAGCGCTTTCTTAAATGGAGCTGTTAGCACAAAATTTCAGGAATCAATCTATTCTGGCTCGTTTGCCTTTCTTTTTATGGTCAACAGTATCACCATGATCTACAGCAGTCTCCGGTGGCAGTACACTGCATGGTGGTTTGGAACTGTACGTTTTTTATTGACACAAACACTGTGCTCCTATCGTGCTCTCCAAGTGTGTCATGTGGTACCAGTTTACGAATGACATCATCTAGTGTGGAAGATGGAGGGCGTGGAGAGGATGAAGGGAGATGGAGATGGGGGATAGGCAGACTTGAGAAAGGAGAGCCGTACTTACTAGGAAAAGGGGAATGGGGTCTTGTTTTTCAAAATTCTCTCCACTTGGCTGTTCCTGCCCGTCACTCCAGCTTTGCCTATCAAATGTAATTTTCAGGTTGCGTGCATTTTAGTGGCAGTGGCATTCCTTATCGATCTCATTCTTCTTGTACGACTTCAGTTAACGAATCCAAGCTGTCGTCACAGTCAAGATGATCTCATCATTCGTCGAACAGACCAATCGATTACTTACCGTTGAAATTATGAACAAAGTTTTCTTCCACTTTGTAAAGGTTTCTCTCACTCGGTGGCGCTGCTGCCACGGGGATAACTTTGAATATCACCAAATAGGCGCAGTTGGATTTATTGAAACACTAAGCGTAAAGCGAATAGCGTAGCCGAAATAAGACGTTGAGCTGCAGGCGAAACCGGCGAGCCGATCTGACGATTGTCGAACTGAGAAGCGCTAGACTGGATGATTCATGGCGCATTATATAGGCGAACACAGCTGCAAATTCTCGTTGACCTGCAGTCATCTTCTTCCACAAAGCTGAAAGCGAGCTGTGAAAACTCAAAATCACTGTCAAATTGAGCTATTGATTAATCACTAAATAAAATAAAGATAACAAAAATCGCGCTTACCTGCGATACACTTTGCTGAACGGAGTTTATGCCTGCCAGTCGCCATTCGCAAGCTATCTGACGTAGCTTTTAGCTCTCGCTTCATTGTCGATATCGGCTAGGACGAAATCATCAATATTAAATGTGTAGCAGTTCTGCCGTAATTACATTCATTGAGCGGATCCTCAGCATGAATTAGAGTTGCCCTGGGTAGTGTAATAGGTGGCGGCAAGATTTCCTGGGTTAAACAGGTATGGCGGTTCGCGGGTACCGTCTGGGCCAAAGTGTTTGGGCCATATATTACACTTCCTTTCACCAGAACCTCGGACACTCATCCTATAGGACACCTGGTAAGAGACTTAGGGAGACGGTCAATTCAATCGTCGGCTAATGAGGTCACGCCGCTCACGCGGCAGGCAGCGTCGCGCGCGGCAAATGGTGCGGCGACTTTTTGTATGGGCTTGGGCTTAACGGTCCTTGTCCATAAGTTGCTGGTGGGGTTAGAGAACTGATAAGACCAAAGTTCCAGACATCAGTGAGCCAACAAGAGTCACCTTAAGATCTCCGCAGTTATTTAAGCCTCACTGTACAGAGCTTGTGCCATGTAAAGGTTGTCCTTTTGAACACAGTGAGAATTTTCTTTATTAATGACCCCCCCCCCGCTCGACGGCATTTTTGGAGGAAAAAGTGGGCGGAGTTTGGTGGGTTGAGTGGTACCAGAATTAAATACTATAGAGAGGAATATGGTGGTCGAGGGTCGAAAAGGGGGTCGTACCAAGTCCACCTTGGGGGAGGGGGGTCGTAAAAATTTTTGAAAAAGTAACAACGATAGGACTGACCCTGATATACCGTGTTTCACGACTGGAAACTTCATCTAATCCTACATTCCCCAATGCTAGAACCCTGAATTCTAGCCACGGCCGACGTCGCATCGCGGGCTGCGGCGGCTGGCGCGGCGACCTAGCCATCGCCACGATTGAATCGTCACGCACCCAAGAGACTATCGTCCCACCGATAAGGCCATCTGTCCATAGCACGATAACGCAAACGCTTTGGATGTGTAGCACGTGGCAGTTCCATCCAGGGACACCCCAACCCTCCATCTCCCTTATATAGGCGTGTGCTATTTTGAATGTTGCACCTATACGATGGAGCGGCTGAAGCCAAACCAACCAATCAACCAACCTTCCATGGTGTAATTGCTCTCCTCATATATGAGGTGCGCTGCGGATCGGTCAAGAGGTCCATGTTGTGCCGGTGCGATTGAAGCACGTTATGCGCGCGGCATTGCAGTGGAGGGTACTGTGTGCAATAAAACTCATTCGTCCACCGTTGAACGATGAATGGCAATTCTGTAGAACCCTTAGAAGGATTCCCTGCCCTCTTTCTTTGTAAATCAGTAACTGCGGAGCGATTCATACCGAAAATAAACGGCCCTAGACGTGGTCCAAGACTGGTTCACCTTGCGCGAAAGAGC